GACCCTGCACCAGGCCCTTGGCGACATGGAGCCTCCACTGTAAGCAGCCCCTTCCCATCTCAAAGGCAACAGGAAGGTCCCAGTGCAGATCATGTTTCACCTTGGAGGTCACTGAAAATCTTGCCTGGGGTTTGTCGGATGCCTTATCCTTGGTTGCTGAAGCACTCTGGGGTCCAGCACTGAAAGTCTTCTGGTTGGCTTTGTCCGCAGGGCTGGGCTCAGTTTTCTTGGCCTGAGCACCCTTTTTACCTGTAGAGGAGACAGATGTATCAGCAGGGCTGTGAGAAGCAAGCAGGCACCTTCCACCCCAATGGGCACAGCCTTGCCCCCTGGAAGGGACATGGCACTTGTCCCCCAGCCTGCTGGGCACTAGCAGCACTGCTTCCCAGAAGCAGCTCCTTCCCTGCTTATCAGCAGGATAAAGCACACCAGCCCAGACTGGATTTTAAAGCCAGCTCTAGGCTCCTCCTAACAAACGTGCACGCAGGTGACACTGCTAGCACAGTAGCTCTCCTGCGGATCAAGCCAAAGATTCGTCCTCCAGGACCATTGTTTCCATACCTTGCACCCATCCTGCATTTTCACATGGAGACTGTAACATGCAGCCCTGCCCCAGCTGCATCACCCATCTCTGCTGGAGCTAAATCCTCCGTGTGGGAAAACCCCAGCTGGGATCCAGACCCTTCTTCCTTCCACCAGCTCTGAACCCAACCAGGTTCAAAGCAGAGCAATGCAAAACTTCTCCCCACACTGAGCAGGTCTGGCCTAACCCTGCAGAGCTCAGGGCACCAACTGCCCAGCAAAGTTTCATAAAAGTCTCCAGTCTAATCTGGAGAACAGCACAGCGTGCACAAGCTGCGTGACCTGACAGTGGGCATAGGAAAATCTCTGGAGAAAAGAGCTTATCTACAGCACGTCTCTCATTGGAAACTCCTCTAGGAGGTTATTCTTCCCTTCCTCTCACAATTGCAAAGCCACACTCAGTTGTCTTGTGCTTAATGAGCCACTTCAGAGGGCTTTTTCCTTGTGAAGGTGACAATGGTTCTGCCTGCTGCCCATGAGGAGCAAGCTGGATTCAGCTTTGAGGAAATATAAAAAATTCAGAGAAAGAGACAGGTGTGCTTCACCACCCCTAGAAAAAGGAATATGTGCCAAGAATGGCAGTAAAAGTGCCCCTGTTGGAGTCCTTAATATTGAACTTTTTGTTTTCAAACTAGCCAGAGATGCACAGCACGCATGTCCCCTAAGAGACCCAAGAGCTGTCAAACCATTTCTCTGAGCAAGCAGAAGCAGATGGTCGTGGTGGTTTCCTAAGCATACTCTGAGTGCAGCGTTTCTCCTTACCTGGCATCTGTTCCCTCATGGCTCTTCGCTGATGGGCAGCCTCGACGCACAGCTCCCAGGCACGGCGCCCCGCCGAGCTGCGCTCGTCCGACATGGCTTTTGTCACCACCTCGTCCAGGGACAAGCAGGCGGCACTGTAATACTTGGACAGGGCGGCCGCTACCCTTGTCTTTCCTGAGAGAAAGAGGAAGACTGCTTGGTGACACCTGCACGTGAGGCATTTTCAGGGACAGCCTCTGGAAAACTCACAAACAGGTTTCAAGGACGGTGGGAGAGCAAGTGCCCTTCTAGGGGAGACCACGAGGGAGGCAGCTTGAGCACAGTTACGAGCACTGAACTCCAGTGCCGGGTGGATCATCTCCACATCATATTCAGCTGAGGAATTTGTCTCAGGCACCATGGTCCACCAGGATGCATTCTCCTGCTTCCCCCTTTCCTTGCAGCCCAGGGCTGTGGCTCCCGTACCTGTCTGGGGGGTCCCATAGACGATGATGGCAATCCCTCTGGGCATTTGGGCTTTGAGCTCTTCTACAATGAGATTGGTGTTGAGGTAGCGCCTGATGGCCTGATAGATGGGCCTGTCACAGTCATCCACCATGTTCTTCAACAACCTGATGCTCTCTTGAAGCGCTGCTGTGCAGAACAAATAGAAAAGTCAGCCTTCTGCCTACCTTGGATCCTGATCATCCTCCCCATCCCCTCAGATCCCAGGAAAGGAGACAGCTGAAAGCAACGTGAGCTTGTGCTTTTGTTGCTGGGAAGGAGCAAATATAAAAGAGCCAGTGATATTAGACCTGGTCCTACTGGCTGAAGAGCTCATCTGATGCTACTCTTTGTGGCTAAGGGACACAAGGGGATATCCTGAATATTTCCCCAGTCTGTGGCAGGCAGATAGGAGCTGCTTTGGCTACACTCCAGGTTGGCAGAGGATGCCACAACCCTTCATCCAGGAATTCCTCCACCAGGCAGGAGATCAGATGGCTGCTAAAAGCATGAGCTTTGCATGGAGAACAAGGTGACAGAGAGCTCAGGGTGTGTGGGCTGGGCTCCCTGCTATGTCCACAGTCAGAACAGCCAATGCCAAACCCTTACCATTGTCCTGGCCTGATTCTTCCTTGAGCTTGGACATAATCTCTTGACCTGAAGCCTCCATCTTCTTCCATTTTTCATAATATTCCAGCACCTCTGGGGGCAGCTTCTCACCCACAGCACGTGGAGGCATCACCACGGCCGTCTGGTCTTCAAACTCCTCCAGGGTCCGCAGGATCTGTGCGCGTGGGGAAGAGAAACCATCCCTAAGATTCCTTTATCAACCTCCATCATACCAACAGACTCAGCCCATCTTCTCCCTCCTTCCTTCCTCCCAACAACACAGGCTATCCAAGCCCCTCCACAGACTGCCAGCAGGGATGGCTCACCTCAAAGTGCCACCAGGCTTTGCCCTGGGGATTGCCTCCATCTCCCTGGCACAAGCCTGGGAAGGCTGGAGTGCTGGAGAGCTTGGGGAGCACATACATGGGGACCAGACCTTCCCTCTCACCTTCTCCTCCTCACGGTACTCCTCGTCAAACTCCAGGGAGTAAAATTCAATGGGGAACTCGCAGGGGTTCTTCACCACCACTGTCGTCTCCAGCTCAGGGCTGCACGGCAGCACCGCTCCCAGCTTGATCTCTATGGGGCTGAACTCCAGCTGTGGATCCAGACCCTGTCCTGAGATGTGCAGCACGAGGAGCTGGCTGTTCCCACGAACGTTGATCTTCAGCTCGGTTTTGTAGGACTTCTGAAAAGAGAAAAGTGCCGAAAACTTGTCCATGAAGTCCTAGGTGACAGGACCCCAAATACAAGCCTTGCTCAAGGGTCAGGGGTCTTATCAGTCCCTCCAGGGGGAATGGAAACCCAGATATTTACTTATGGTAGGGGCTACAGCATCTGTGTCCTTGGCTCTGAGTAACTGGGACGAATCCTGGTGTGCAGTATAACTGGGTATTTGGGTATGAAATGGATGTAAAATGGATTATCAGATGTTCTCCCCTAGTCGTGGAGAAGCACACGAGAAAGGCACTCAGTCCTGGCACTGCTGCATCAGGCAAACACCAGCTCTATGAGAGAGGCAGATGAGCTCTCGCTGGCTAGAAATAAAGGTCGTCTTCTCTGCTCAGTGTTTGGCTCTGGTCAAAGTCTGACACAAGATGGTTGGTTACATCTCTCTAGCAATGAAAAGATCCCTGGGACTGTTCTTGGGCACGGAAGCACTTGTGTCCCTCCTGTTACACCCTGTCAGTTTCCAAGTCCCAGTGGCCACATGCAAAGGGCTTTTGGAAATGCTCCATCCTTGAAGTCGACTCCCCAGCTGCACGGCAATGTGCAGGCAGGCTGGGCCAGAGCCCCAGGGACTGCTGGCAGCAGACCACTACAGGTGACTGTCCTGCCGTGCCCAGGAAGGTGTCTGGTGGCTGTTTTGTCTGTTGGTGCCAGCAGCAGGATGAGCCAGCATTGATCCTTCCAGGTTGATGCCCTGTGACTGTGCCACCTGCTCTGCACCCAGCGTCGCAGGCTGCAAATACAACCAGGCAAGGCGGAGGACGAGGGGAGTCAGGCAGATCTCCCCCATGGGCAGAGAGGCAGCCACAGCACAGTGCCCTGATGTTCCCTGTGGGAATTTCAAGGCGCCTCTCAGAAGGGTGTGCTGCAGGGGAAACTGAGGCACAGTGAGTGCAGGGCTTCCAGGAAGCTGCCAGTGGAGGAAGAGCTCATCTGCCACTCCCTGCGTCGGGCTCTCCTTACCACCCTGCCCTGACAGAGCTCCTGGGGCGACACCTGCCAATCTCACCTCTTCCAGGGGTGAAAACTGGATCTGCAGGTCATACCACTCTCTACCATAGAGGGTTCCCTCCCGGGCCTTCCACTGAAAGACACGGGAATCATCCTTCGCAGCCTGGAGCTCCTTCTGACGCACGGCCGGTGTCAAATGTTTGTCCACCTGAGCACAGAAACCAGTCGTGTGAGGTCTCCTCGGTCTGAGAGGACAGAGCCTCGGTTCCTGGAGTGCTCCGAGATCCTGTCCCGGTGCTGAGAGCACCCACAGCAAACCTGGCGTGGCCCCCACCATCTAGAACTGGAGGGACAACCTGCAGGCAGGGCAAGCAGATGGGGAGCCACCGTCCTGTCCTCAGAGGAGGAGGAGGAATGGGTGAGGATGGCAGAGAAGCAAAGCGTCAGCCGATGGAACAGGTCCAGGCAAAGCAGCCTTGATCTGGACCCTCAAAAGCTTCCTCAAACACGCTGTAGCCCAAGTGCTCAGGCAGCCACAGGCACAGAAAAGGCAGGAGGTGCAAAGAAAACCCGACCACAACGTTCCGTGTTACGTTCGCCTGTGCTTTTACCTTCTTGGCAGGTTTGTTGACAGTGAGGAACCATTCACAGGGCACGCTGAACCGGTTGTAAAGCCGGACTGTTTCGTGCCAGCACTGCCCAACCTGGACATCAGGGAACTGGATTCTGTTCCTGGAGAGGCTGAGCAGCAGCTGAATCACAGTGGCACAGAGGCGGATGTGCAGCGTGGGGCCTTTCTTTACCTGGAGAAGGACAAAGAGTTCAGCTGAGAGTCCAGGTGACATGTGCTGCTGTCCCCAGCCTGCTGCCTGCCCCCAAAGCTGCGGTACCTTGATGGGCAGGAGCACATCCACCTTTCCCACGGGCAGGTTGGCACTTGCAAAGCTCACTTGAAACAGTTTGGTGGCTCCGTAGATCAGGAACTCCACGGGCTCCAGGTATACGCTGAAACCTTGAACAGATGAAAACAAAGCAGCTGAGATACACAAGCAATATGAAATGTATCATAAGCATGTTAAGGCCATACGAGAGCCCTGCTGGGAGCCCTGGGAAAAACCCCACGCTGTGCTGTTCCCGGGACAGAAACTTAGAGGAGACACCTGAGCAGCCCTCAGACACAGCGAGCCACTCTGTGATGGAAGTGCAGATTTGCCTCCAGACCTCTTTTGGAAGCATACTTCGATCCACCAGAGAATCAAACAGGCTATTTCCTCAGTAAAGGCTGAACACAAGAGCTGTGAGAGTGTGAACTCCAGACAAAGCACTTTCCAACCACAACAGATCCCATCTGTTTGCAACACCCCCAGAATGCCCAAAGAAACTTCATGCCGATGGGAACCAAAGGCAGAAGATGCTGGGAGATGACGAGGGTAATCAGCCCATCAGGCCCCTTCAGGGAAGCGTCAGGGCAGTCACAGGCAGGCCAGGTCCCTGGGCACGGCTGGCCAGGAGAATTCTGGCCCTGAAGCTCCCAGCAGGAGCACTGGGAGGAAGAAGCTCAAAAAACCTCCCCATGTGCAGTGGCTTAAGCTAATCTGTCTGAGACAGCTCCTTGCAGCCCACAGGAATCCTCTCTAGCACTGGTTACCTGTGTCACGCAGGGCACGTTCATCGGCCCGGATGGTCACTGGGAACCTCCAGGTGTTGGTGATCTTCACAGTGCAGCTTTTACTGTAACCCTGAACGACAGTGCCCATGTCCAGGATGTACTCGGGCAGCTCAACTCTGGAAGGAGGAGTAAGGACAGTCCTTAAACAACAGCGGAGCCACATGTTTAAGTGGATGGAAGATTCAAATAAAGTGGATATTTCTGTACTCACTGCTGTAAAAACTCAACCCAAGCCTACAAAACCCAAGGCCTGACCACCTGGCAATGACTTTGGGAAGTTATGGGGAGTGCAGGTCCTAGGTTTCATCAGCTTCCAATGGGACCCGAAAATAAAATTAGTTTTAAATGGACTCTGGTCACAGCTCCTCCACTACAAAAAGTCAGTGTAGGTAAATCCACTGGACCTCCAGTGGTCTCAGTGAAAACGCTTCTCCTGGTGCACAGCCCAAGCCTGAAACTGCTTCCGAGCCTTGGAATAAGATTTGAACAGGAAAACTTCATTGTTCTGCAACCAGGTCACATGAAGGATCTGTTTTGCAAAGCATCTTCTTCCTGAACTGGAGCCTCCCATGCCCAGGCAGCATCATGAAGGAGCAAAGGGAAGGACCAAGTTACCCAGATAAGCCCTGCCAGCCCACCAGCATCAAAGCCACCTTTTGCTTAGGGGGCTCTGTCAGTCAGAACCAAGAGAACAGCTTGGAGTTCTCTTTCTGAGCTGGTCAGCAGGGACAGTGTCTGTGCTGTCTGGAAGGGCTTGATGGTCTGCACTGGGTCCCCTCAGCTCCAAGAATGGGACCTTGCACCTGTGGGGAGCTGAGCAGCTCCAAAGCTCAGCGCAGCACTGGGGAAGGGAGGACAGTCAGCTGCTCACGAGCTATTGCTGTCACAGCTACTGGGGTCAGCCCCTTTCTGAAATGCCCACTGTTCCCAGCTCTGCATGCACAAGGAGCTCTCGGGAGCAGGTGACACTGCTGGGTGTTGCCCTCAGGGCATCTGCAGAGAGGGAACAGGAGTCCCTACTCACTGGACGAGCTTCTGAGGAATGTGCTTGTCAAAGATAGTGTCCTCTGGGGGGCGGGAGATGAGGACTGGCTGCAGCTCCAGAGCATCCTCCTTTATCAGCATCTGCTCCATCTCCATCCTCAGCCAAGTGTTTGCCTGAGGGAAGGGAAGGCAGTGGCTGGTTAGCAAAGGCCCTTCCCAGGACCCAGGCTTGTATCTGAAAGAGGATCCCACCCTGCTCTTGTTGAGAGGGGGAATGGGGTCCTCCTATCTGACTGCTCAGTGTCCGTGACACATTCTGCTCTCCTAGCCAGGATCTTCTCTCCAGGGAAATAACTGCAGTATCTGTGCCTTCCCACCCACTGCTAGAAAAGGTGATCTGGCCAGACAGACAAGCTAGCAACCTTCCAGAGCTTCAGGTATTTGCCTGTCCCCAGCCAGTGCCAAAGCAGCTTGGACAAAAGCTGCCTAGAAAAGGGAACCCCAATCAAGCTGGTGCCTCTTGGAGTTGAGCACTGCCAGCACAGTCCCAGGGCACAGTCAGGCTGCTGCTACTAAGGTCTGTAAACCTGCTAGGGCTTGATTTGGGAGCAACAAACTCCCCAGCAAGGGGAGTAGCCGGGAAGCTTGGTACATCTCCAGGAGAGACCACGACCAGAGGTGGGGCAACGCTGAGCTGATGCATGTTCGTGGGCAGGTGTGGGCAGGGAGGTCCCAAGTGCCAGCAGGGCACTGAGAAGCTGTTGTGGGGTGTTGTGGGGTGCCAGGGCCTCAAGTGACATGGGGAGGGTGGCATGTGCCAAATGGGACTGCAGCTGTGCTTACCACAATGCCAGGGCCCTTCGCGTGTCGCTTCCTGATTCGAGCCTTCCTCCAAACACTTGCTTTCTTGTCCTGTTTGTCTTTTTTCAGCTTTTCTTTTGCCTGTTTCAATAGTCTCTCGTATTTTTCACTTCCTGAAGGAAGAAAACATTCACAAATAGAAGTGTGGGTGCAGTGCCATGCCATTTAAGCTGAGAAGTTCCACTCCCCCAAAGGCTGGTCTCTCCCAGAAACAACCCATCAATGGAAAGCCATCTCTGGAAAGTGGACGCTGCTGCTTGTCTCTGAATCCTCATGTTCACTCCCACCCATCTCATCCCCTGCAGTGTCATGCAAATCCAACCCTGCCAAAAGCCCTGCCAGTCTCTCTTATAGCTTTCCCAAGCTTTTCTGTCTAGCCATCTTTCCAGGCCTCTGACGGAAGTGCTGGCAAGAGCTGAAGGATGGTTACTTGGACAAAGCCTACATGTGCTTGTCTGCTCAAGACTCAGGAAGCAACCAGAGGGGTGAGTGTTGGTCTGGCAGCCCTGCAAACTCCAGGCTTGGTGGAGATGGGTGTGAGCTGCCCTCTGGGCATTACAGTAGGGAAAAACCCCAGTGAGGACTTTGCTGGGGAGCAGATGGGCACTGCTCACCGTTGATGCTCCAGGGCAGGTCCAGACAGATCCCGGCAAAGACCGCCTCTCCTTTCAGGGAGATTTCTACCGGTTTCAGGTGACCCACTTGAACCTGGAAAGTCCTGCAGAAGACTCCTGGCATTCCTGGCAGGTAATAGAGCTTCAGCACCTGCTCCTTGCCAGGTTCAATGGAAGCCTGCAAGGGACAGGAGAAGAGGGAGGCAATGCATTAAAGAGGGTGTGATGGAGAAAGGCTCAGGCCATAGACAGGCTAAGAAGACAGGTTCTCTCTGGAAGAAAACATCAGATCACATCACCTTCTAACTTCCTCGCGCCCAAAAGCTCGAGCCTCCAAGGCGAGGGTGCAGAGGGTGCAGTGTGTCCTTCCCAGGGCTCCTAAGGCTGCACCCCCAGCAGAGCCTGCCCTGTGCTCAGCGTGAGCACGGCTCTGCTGCTGACAGGGTTTGCCCTCTGCCAGTGAGAGCCAGGCTGAACAGGTAAAAGCTCTTTTGCCACCACTGTGGAAGAGGAGTGAAGTGCCCACGCTCTCAGCAGGGCCAGCAGCTCCTGTCACCCCTTGTAGAAGACAGGCAGGAAGAAATGGGAAAGCCAATCGGCTTCCTCTTCCCATGGCAAAGAGGGACAAAGACAGGAACACTGCTTCACCTCAAAGACATCCAGGCAGCACTGAGAAGCTGGGACAGTGGTGGGATGCTCCAAATTCCTCTCTTGGCTCTTCCAACCTTGCCTGGCCCCCTCACTGCCCCAAAAAGCTGCTCCAGAGCAGCACAGCTGGGGGGAGGGAAGGACCAGCACAGGGGTTGCGACAATTTCTGGTTGAGGAGTTTCAAGCCCAAGCAAGGAATTTGTAAGTGCTGCTTAGTGCTGGCACAGGGGAGGCACAGGCAAGGAATTTGTAAGTGCTGCTTAGTGCTGGCACAGGGGAGGCACAGGCAAGGAATAAGTCCTGTCTGATCCCACAGCTGGGGTAGGTGACCCTCAGAAGAGCCTCAGTGCCAGCACAGCCACAGAGCTCAGCAGTCGGGGGCCAAGGAGTGACCAGCGTGCTCGTGCCTCCTGCCGGTGGCTGCCCTGGGATGGCAGAGCCAGTCGCCAGCCAAGGCCACAGGGAGTCTGGCAGGATGGCACTTGCTTGACCTTCTCTGCCCCCAGCAGCAATTGCTTACAGCCCTGTCTCTCATGGCTGGGTTTGGTTTTGTTTTCCCCTCTTTTTTCTCTTTAACCCTCTCCTTGGCCACCTGACACAGGGCTGGGGTCAGTCAATTGTGCCACTCACTGTGCTGGGCAGGACCACGAGCACACCAGGCAGAGGCTTGTCTGCAGTGCCAGTGCTGGGGCTCTGTACCATGTAGGTGAATCCCATCTTCCCGTTGTTCTGCAGGGTGACCTCTGCTTTGGTGACTTCATTAAAGAGCTGGAGAGAGGACAGAGGAATGGGAAGTTACAGACACAGGCCTGCTGCTGGGAATCTCCTTCCTCTTTCATGGGGTTGAAAGCAGACACACTGCAGGAGCAGGGACTGGGAACAAGCTATGGGCACTTGGGAACATGGGGAACCCCCAGGCACAGTGACCTGCACAGGAACAGAGTTCTGGCAGCATGCAGAGGGGCAGGAACAACCGTGGGAGAGCCAATAATAAATGAAGCAGGGGACACAGGCCCTCTGCACTCTGAGGGGTCACCAACAGCCAGGAGAAACAAAGGAGGTGGCATCAAGGCATTCCAGAAGAAAAGACAGCTGCATGCAAGTATTGGCAAGCAACACACCAGCCAAAAGGGAGACAGACGGGGCACCAAGACAGGGACAGCAGCTGGAAAGACCTGTGGACTTTTAACTGAGAAGTAGTAAAGCAGGGATTATTCTCGGACATTCTCTCCAACTGCAGTGACCGGAAGCCCAACCGGGTTATTTTGGGGATTAAGCAAGAGCATTAAACAAGAGCATCTCGTTGGAGCTCAGGCTTTACGAGTGGATCAGCAGAGGGATTTCTCAGGGACATGTCCCTCTGGACATCCCCACTGGGATCCTGCTTGCTCCAGGAGGCAGCATTAGGTACCCTGAAGATAAAGAATTCCCAACATTTTGGAGGGGGGTGGAGATGGCCATTACAAAGCAGTCTGGATGCCAGACATACCCCTCCAAGATTGTACTTCCAAGCCCCAGAGCCAACAAAGGAGCTGGGAAGGGGAGAGAGCCCTGGGCCGGGCTGGGAAGCAACCTGCTGGTGATGGTCCCAAGGCAGCAGCTCTGCCAGGAGAAGGGGGTAGTACCTGCAGCCCGCAGTCAATCTCCTCGACGCTCAGGTGGTAGGTGAGGACTGAAGTCTCCCCCCTCAGCTCCACCTCATAGGTTGGGCCTCCCTCCACCTGGCACAGCACCGTGACACGGGCGATGATGTTGGCATGGCCAAAGAAGGTGAAGGGCACCTGCTGGCTCTTGCCCGGCTGCAGCACACCGGACACCGGCTGGATGTCAAAAACCTGCAGGAGGGGAGGAGGGATCGAGTCGTTGAGCATGGAAATGGGTGCAGAAGAGCAGCTGTGGCTTGGAGCAAAGTACAACCATAGCTGGAGGGGCCTATTCCTCAAACACCAGCCAGAAGCATCCTAATCTCATCCGGCCTCCATGCCACTGACCAGTGGAGGGAGCATGGCCAAAGTCTTTTGCCATACTCACTGTTCAATGCATTAATTAATACCAGACATTAAAGTAAACTGGGATGTCTCCTGGCAGCAAAACATTCTCTCTGTTGCAGAACTTGCCTTTAAAACCAGTTTTTACCGCCTTCAGAAAAGCAAGAGACTCAGAGGTGAGAGCTCTTGGAGCTGAGGGGAGGACTCCAGCCCAGCTCATCTGACTCCTGAGGCTTTTCCCTCTCTCTGACTTACATGCTGCTCTCTCAAGGTGCTACACCAAATGCTCCTGAAACATATCCTGTTGAGCACCTGATGAGGTACCAGGGGAGCAGTGCCCTCCATGGGTGCTGCACAGGGAGTTCTGTAGCTCTGGGGGCAACAGACCTGCTTGCCACGCTGAAAACGTGCAAGTGAGAGAGATTCCCACTCACCTCCTCCGCTCTGAAGCCAGGGGGCTTTACCTCTGCCGACTGCCCAGACCTCTTCGTCTCTACTGAGCTCCAAGGCCCTGCAGCAGTGTATGGTGGCACCTGGAAGACAATGGAAAGTGGCTTTTTCCATTCCAGGACACAGCCACCTTGCCAAGTCTCACTCTAGAAAAGGCAGCTCTGGGGCCATCACTGCAATGCCGGCTCTTGGGTGAAGGCAGAGACCTGAAAATGGGTGGTCTAGCTGGGCTGGGAAGGGGGTACATGGAGATCAGGATTTGGCATGGCTTGCTACAGGAAGGAAACTGGAAGCCTTCTCATCATGATGCAGAAAAGCCTCATTTTACATTGTAAAGGAAACAAGCCAAAAAATCCCAAACTCATCATAGGTCTGTAGGATCGGAGTGGGCTTCTCCAAAGAAAAGTATCCTATTTCTCCCTCCCCAGATGCCCCATGTCCAGCCACTGGCCCTGCTGCCCAACCCACTCTCAGGGCACAGAACAGCAGGGCAGCAAAAGGGGAGGTCGGCACGAGCACAGCTTTTTGGTGGCAAGCTGGGGGAGGCAACACAAGTGGCAGGTGCACAAGAAAACCCACCTTTGCTTCTGGGGAGTCCTCTGAATGTGAGGACTCTTCAGAAGAATTCTGCTCTGTTTCCAGGGAGTCCTCTGAATCTGATGACTTTTGGGAAGAGTTCTGCTTTGTTTCCAGGGAGTTCTCTGGATCTGATGACTGTTCAGGAGAATTGTCCTCTGTTTCCAGTGAGTCCTCTGAATCTGATGACTCTTTGGAAGAATCCTGCTCTGTTTCCAGGGAGTCCTCTGAATCTGATGACTCTTCGAAAGAATCCTGTTCTGTTTCCATGCAGTTCTCTAAATGTGATGTCTGTTGGGAAGAATCCTGTTCTGTTTCCAGGCAGTTTGCTGAAGGTGATGATTGTTGAGAAGAGTCCTGCACTGCTTCCGGGGCTTTGGCTGGTTCCTGCACACTTCCAGGCCTGAAGTACCTCCTTGAATAACGCCCACACTCAACACAGCTGAACGTGACCATTTGTGGTTGGGGTTTGAATGTAGGTGGGGAAGGTATGAACCTGGAAAATAACGTAACCATGATCATGGACCTGCAGTGGGAGGGAGGGACACCTGCACGAGCAATGCCTCGTCAGGATGCAGCCCCCGGGTGGGTGCAGGTGTGGTGAGCTCAGAAAGGGTGTGTCTCAGAAAAGGAGAAGGAAGGGGAAGGTAGCAAGATGTTCAGCATCAGCTCAGGTGCTAACTAGCTCTTTCTGTGATGTGATTTGGGACTTTCTGGGCATCCTCCAGTGCTTCCAGGCCAAGGTTGGGAATGCTGCAGAGAAGGCAGCAAGGAGAAGAGAGCTGTTTCTCTGCTTGCAGAGAGGACCCATCCCAAAGTAGAGGGGCCAAAGGGCTGTGAAAGTGCTTCCACCAGCACTGTGGAGGTGAGACTAGGAGCCCTTCACCAAGGTGGTCACTGCCTCAGGCCACAGAGGTCTGAGAAAGCAGATTTCTCCACCAGCTTTCCTTCCCAGAGGAAACCAGGAGGGGGACTACAGTAACACCAAACTCGTGGAAAACGCCTATTCCCTGAGCATCCAGCCTGACCACGGCCGGTCAGTGTTATTCCACAAGGGAAAGTCAAAAGCAGGCAAACAGCTTTGGTCTTTGCAAAGTACAAACATCATCATGGCTGGGCTTCACGAACAAAGATTTGGGAAGGGCTCTACCCACGTTTGTTGCAAGCACGCTGGTGGCTGAAAAGGCCAATACGAGATAGGCATGTCCGGTTGCAAAAGGTGCAACAGAAAGACTCCTTAGATGGTATATTCTGCAAGACACGATTCTTTCTGCATTGCCTTTTCTCCTCAAGGGTGATCCTGCGTGCTTTCTCAAAAGCATCAGCAGCGTTATAGATGGTGTGTCTCCAGGTCTCTCAATTGGAGGCCAGAGTAGACCAGTTATGGTGGTCAATACGGCCAAAAAGTACAAACAGGACCCCAGGAAAAAGAGCTTCCAGGAGAGGGCAAAGGTGCACATACCCTGTCGGGTACTCCTTGCTGTCCATCTGGAATGACCAGTGGTAGTGGGCAGGAATTGGGCTGTAGTTGGTCATCTCCAGGTAACGCACTTGTTCTGTGCCACTCACGATGCAACCAAAGTCCAGTGCTTTGGTCGGGATACGGAGATTCGGGAAGTAGACCTCTCCCCGAACGGTGATCTCTTCCTCATGAGGATGTTCCCCAAGCTGGATCTTCATAGTCTTCTCTGCTACCCAGCTGATCGGATCCTTTTCATAAGCTGGGTTAAAGCTGATGGAGAGATGAAGTTCCTGCCCTGCCTCCATCTTCACAGGCTGCAAGGAGACAAGGAGTGTCAGTCACCCACACGATGAAGTCCCAAGGTCTGACAGCATGAAACCGTAAACGCTCAAAGTGTGACCCCAGCATGGCCTTTCCAGTCCACTCTTCAGTTCTTTACAAGGGAGGGTCTGACTGCAAGCACCACACTCCGGTGGGGGATTCTCAGGCTCCTGTTTCTGTGCTCAGCAGCAATACAAGAGGATGGGGTGCTCTCCAGGAGACACCTCTGCTGCATGGCTTGCCCACACCTGGCTGCCTGCTCCCTTCCCCTCGTATCTTAAGAGCCAGGAGGGATCTTTCCAATTCAGATGAGTTTTTGCTTCCTTCAGCAGCTCTGCTGACTCAGTTCACAGTTCAGGCCAGTCCACTGCTGACTCTACGGAATAAACTTCTCGACTTAGGACCTCCCAACAGAAGGGCACCACCACAGCCCTCCCTCTTCAAAGCCCACTGGCAGGAGGGTCCTTGGCTGCTCACCTGGGCCTCTGCAGGGAGGGGCTGCTGGTCTGCAGCACAGATTAGGAACGGCTGCTCCAAGTCCAGCAAAA